GCTCCACCTTGTGGTCATGGTGTGAACATTCAGAAACTGAGCTGAATCCATTGAAGTTCCTGCCATCATCTTTACTGATTATGTGCAATAATGTGCAATGGAGACAGGCAAACAGACAGACCGTGAAATATCGGAGTGTTGCAAAACTTCCTGACACTTGTTTGATTTGCCAAATAGTCATGAATAGACAAAAGTTGCAGAGTAACAACACTGTTTGGCTCGTCTCCTGTATGGCAGAGCCACCTGTGTCAAACATCAATCTATCAATCTCAATTGCTACATTAAGTGTTCGGGGGGAGAGGGGAGGGGGATTTAATAAACACAGGTAGTCACGTATATCACGTCCTCACAAGGAGATCCAATCCACATTTACATACGGCCACATAAATAAATATACACACAGTCACATGCATAAACATGCCAAGAACACCCTCAAACATAAATGATTACATTCAGAACAGTACGCAAACTTTCCTGTCACAACCTTTAGGAGAGAATGATACAAAGCTCTGCTAGGTTATCAGAGTGTCAGAGGCAAAGCGGCTCAGGGTGAATCAGGCAGGACAAACTGCCAGGACGTCGGGGCCAGACCACCTCCTCTGGTCGACCATGCTGCTTACTGCCTTGGCAGGTACTCTGGGTTGAGGCACCATGGTGGCCCACAGGCAGGTGTAGCAACCCATATGAATCATCAATTTACTGTGATCACACTACCTGCATATCACTCCCCGCCAAAACATGAAACTGCAAAAGAGCCAGAGACCTTTACAAACCAAGGATCTTTGGGAGCTCTTGTGTTTTGTTCGATCTGGGCTGTCTGACAGATGTTTATAATAGCGCCATTAATTTCACTTTGCCTTGGGGAAGGGGATATCTTTTTAAACATCTGACAGCTACATGCTCGACTGCTGATCGGAGCCCGGCAATATGACAAGACACATTCCGCTCTTTTATCTTTATCATGAGGTGCAGAGGGCAGATTAATCAGATTTGTCAACAAAAAAAAATCAGCCTCTTCTGACAGCTAGTAGAGACTGTCAAGTAATCAATAAGAATTTGGTGGATTGGGAATGTCTGATTCCTGTGTGAGGTGACTCTGATTTGCACCCACATAGTGTCACATAGTGTCTGATAATTTCTGATCTTTACGGGATATTGTTTGTTTGGAGAAAATCTCAATAGGTACCAAAACACTTGCCCATGCCATAGATGAAGAAAGAAAAGACTTAATCTACAGACAAACCTCTTTAAAACAATAGTTCAACAATATGGATCTTAGATGAGAAGACCAATACCATTCCCATATTTTACACTAAATATGAAGCTACAGCCAGGAGATAGTTAGCTTAGCTTAGCATAAAGACTCGAACTAGGGGGACCCAGCTAGTCTGGCAGCGTTCGAAGGTAACAACACATCTAAAGCTCACTAACATGTTATACCTTATTTGTTTAATTCGTACAAAACCCAAAGTGTAAAAACCCAAACTTGTGCTTATACTAGGAGTCGTGTGCTGGACTATTTCTTGGCCAGGTGAAAGGACTTCCTGCAGTCTTGGAAATCACTGTTCCTGTACTGCAAAGAAATAGTCCAATAGCTTCATATTCCATGAACATACACGAAAGTGTCAAACTACTCCTCAAATGTAATGTTTTACAAGTGTGATCACAGAGAAATCCACAGTAAGAAGTACTAAGCACCAAAGATATTTCTTAAATAAAAATACAATCATTATTGAGTACTATTTCATCAAGTTTAAAATAAAAAAGATCATTATCACTTAATTGAAAACAAATTCATTCTTTTTTTCAGAAATAACAGTATTATATGCCTTATTTTAATACACTACAACAATTAAGGCTATAGTAAAGTGTTGACAAAAGAAACTTGGAGAGTGGGAAACTTCATAATTACCCAGATGGTAAGAGGACAACTTGCTACCGAGGAGCAAATGAAGTCGAAGGAGTGCTGCCATGTGCAGCCACGCTAAGCAAACCATATGCTGTTTGTATAAGACAACAACTAGGTTTTCCTGTTTTCATCAGCTCATTGGCTTTTATTGAGCCTGTTGGGCTCAAAGCAAATGGAACTCCAGTGAGCCATTTAAATGAAAATGTGATGGTCAATGTCATCTTTTAGAGAGTTTAGCTGCAGAAGAACAGCGATTCAGCCTCCACGTAAACATCTTTGAGGCATTGATCTCAAACGTAGTAGAAATCATTTTGGCAAAATGGCTGACAAGAATGACTATACCACAGGGGTAAATGATCTCTCATTAACATAAGGTGTGTTTTCCAATTTGTTTATATAACTTTAGTAGCTCAGTTTCAGGCTTGTGTGGGCGGCCTGCTAGCCTCTGCACTGATGTCTGTTTTTAACCTTTCTTGGGGATTTGAGCACACATGCTCTTTTTTCCAGCAACGCCCTGCTTCACATTCATACAGTTACATTCATCCAACCTGGGAGCGGCCCAGTCCAACCACAGTCTCCTACTGAAGCCAGTGCACAGCTACACTGGAGATACAGTTAAATGCTTGGCTCAAAGGCACCTCAGTTGTATAGCTGTTAAAGGAGGATAGAGCATAACTTGTTCTGTTTTATCAGCGAGAGTTCATACCTGCAATCTCCTAGACATGAGCCTGCTTCTCTTAAACTTAAGGTCACCACCACTACACAGCAAAGCATAACATCTTCCCAGAAATAAAATGAAAATCCCTTATGCTGCACTTTGGTGGGAACAACCCAAGCTGAGAGATGGCGCCGGTTTTGCGTCTGTAACCACTGTTGAAATATTATTTCAGAGGCAAGCCGTCCCCGCATCTTGGAGCACGGTGAGCAGAGCACTTGAGAAACGCATTAGGGCAAAGGGGCAAGTTGGAGGCTATACATTTGCTACCAATTTAGTTCCTGCATCTTAGATTTCGTTCTTCCCTCCTCTCTTGGCCCCGAAACCAGGCCTAATGTAGTAAATGACCTCTAGGATAAATAGACAGCAGGCTACATGACCCCAGCCATCAAAAACGCAGGCTGTAATAAATACTACATAGCTTTACAGGAAGTGTGTTCGACATTCTCCCAAAACCTGCAGGGAAAGAAAACGAGGGGGCGAACGGGGTGAGTCTCTGTTCACCACTCTCTCTTTGGTCAAAAGCTTTTTTCCTGAGGTCTGTTATTACCGGCCTAGTTCCTGGGTTCCCATTCAGAGTGGAGCTTGTTCATATAAACCTTGAGGTTTTGAGGCATCGCTGGACTGACTGGGTGGCTTTCACCAGGGAATTAGCACAGGGTCGCATTGGATCACGATCAGTAGGCCCTCTACGGCTAACCTGTGTTGGACTGGGATGCTTGTGGAGGTGGTGGTGGTGAGGACAAGTTTCCTGGCTCTGGAATATGGGTCAGTCAGAACCCTGGATGTGTAGGCCTTGATCCTGTAAATCAACCTTCTGATGCTTTTCTACTTACTGTATAATTTCTAAATCATTTTGTTTAACCACCATTTTCCAGATTAGTCTTGATGAGATTGGCAATCTTCTCTACTGTAAGACCCATTTTTTATATATATAGCTGGAGGAAGTAGTGTATAATGTAGTTTTAGCCACTTGTAAAGTAGAACCATTTGAGGTCAGAGAGGACATAAAACTAGACCAATTGTATTAATTTGTTACTAATGTAATCTTAATTAGAACATGAGGTGTTGTAAATAATCTTTATGTCTATGATGCTTTAAAAATCCACAGGGGATAAAGCTGAAGGACATGGTATTTGGAATGTTTTGAAACAGCTTGGTGTACAATTTAAAGCAACATTATGTAGCAATTTTATCTTAAGAACAGCTTTAAAAT